CACACACACAAAGCTTTGGATCCACTTTCTGACACTGGAACCACTGGAAACATGGGTCTTCCATTTTGATTTCTTTGTTATCTAGATTAACACTACCTCGACCCACATAAAAAATCTTGTGTCTTTTCCCCTTTAAGACATTATGACCAAGGGAACATCAGTCAGGGAAATAAGAGTTAGAAGAGAATAGAATTGATGAACATTCTGGGGACACCAGGGAAGCAGCTGAGAATGGGTGAATCCAGTAAGGCATGCACAGTATTTAAGTGCTAGGTCCCTGAAGCCAGCCTTCCTGGGATGACCTTACTACACTCATATCAGCTTCACGACCTTGGCTGAGGAACTTAACCTCCCCTAGGATGAATTCTCTCATCAGCTTAATAGAAATGGAAGTATCTAATTTATCATGCCAAAGGAAGGGAAAAAATTGAATAATCCATGTAAAAACTTGTTATACAGTGAGACAGTGTGGCATTAATGAGACTTACTACTGTCATCATTAAGTTTTGTGATGAGGGTGCAATATTTTCCCAAGTACTTATCCCCACCCCTCCAATGAGGCCAGCACCTTGGTGCTAGTAGAGAAGGTGGGGAGCAGCGCTGTGGGGTGGAAGAAGCGACGGGCCCAGAAGGAAGAGACTGGAACAAAAAAGGGTGAGGATTTCCTCTCAAGTTATGAGTGGAATTTATCCCTAGGTAAAAACATCAATATTAGGACAACCCAATAGAGGGGAAGGAAAACTGGCTTCATAGAAAGGGGCTCTCAGGATGGTCCCTTACACACTGTGTATCTTGCCCTCAAGCAACATGTTCAGGAGCCCAGAGGAGTCAGACTCCATTGTTTACTGGCCTGTGACCTTGGCAAATTGCTGAACTTTTCCAACTGTAGAAGCCTCCATCAGTGAGCCTTTCATAGCTCAAAAAATTGTGGGTTTGGCATGAGTGATATTTTCAAAGTATAAAGTACTCCACAAATATACAATTTACTAGTTCCCATTAGTAGTTCTGGTGATTCCCAATTACATTTAGAGATGGAAATCGCTGATAAGACTGGAAAACAAGTGAGGAAGATGATTTCTAAATCATCCTGCAGGAGTTGCACTACAGAATTATGGAATCCTAATATCTGTTAAAGGAGGTTTTAGAATAGCTACTTCTTCTGAGCTCCATCCCTTCTTACCTAGCTTGTCTGAATGTGGCTCCAGAGCCTGCTTCCTGTTTGCTACGTCCATGTCTTGCATTTCCAGCCAAGTCTCTGCCATTGTCTTCTGACTCCTCTCTTCTACAATGCCCTGACCCCTGGGATTCCTAGATCCCAAAGAAACTCATTAGGAACAACCTGGTGTTTACCCCACCCCGCCTTACTCTTGCACATTTCTGAATAAATCACATCCAGTGACAGAATTCTGAATTCACCCCAAGTTTTACCTTCTCAAGGAAGCATTCCCTGACCACCACAGTCCAACAGAGGAATAATTAAAATAAAGAACACGCACACAAAAAACTCATGATGGTAAAATAATAATGGGAGCAATTCTGTTTAACATAACTAATAATAAGGTAAGAAAAATATGATACTAAATGCAAACACCATGCTTAATCATTTAATAGCAAGTTGAATTTAAAGCAAATAGTATTAAAGAAATAAAAATTCATTGCTATAATAAAGGGAATAAAACATCCCTTTAGGATCGGGTCAGGTTAGGAAAGACACTACAGATATGTGAATGCATCAGGAAAAATTGATGTGCTAGAGATAGAATGATGTGACCATTTGAGTGGGGATAGGTTAACTAAGAGCCATATAGGTCAATGGAACAGAATAGAGAATGCAGAAATAGATGCACCCATACAGGCTCAATTGACTTTACACAAAGGTACCACATAAATTGTTGCCATGCAGCTGTCCAGCAGTCTGTCCCCCCACACTTACCCCTAAACTGACCCTTTTGAGGACACTGCTCATACACCTTGCATCTCCCTGTTTGGCCCCAGAAGATGGCTGGTTAGCCAATGACGGGTAAGACTCCTTGAGGAAGAAACAACCTAAGACAGGCACAGTCGCATGGGGGCCAGCAGGAGAAATCTCGGGGCTGATGGAGGTGGGCATAGGTCCTCACCCATCCCCAAAGAAACTGAAGGTCTTCTACCTCTGTAGCTACATTTCTTCCGGCAACCTCCTTGGGAAGCGGTCTGATGATGTGATAATATCTGTTCTCAGCATAATAATCTTATCTCCCTGGGGTCATATGCATATGGGTGTGTGAAGGCAGAGCATTTGTCTGGTCATGCGGCTGGACTTTTGGTAATAGCAGCTTGCAGGCATGGGTAATCCGGAATGAGTAAATTCTCAGAAATGAGACTCAGAGACAGTGGCGAGAGCAATGCTGCTTCTCGGTATGTGAAGAAATAAAAGCTGCGTGTCAACCCGATTTGGGGCTCTTAGTTCTCTGAGGCTGGAGACCCTTAACCCCATTTCATTTAACTCTTGGCTGCTGTTTCTTTTCTTTCTTAACCATTTGCCGCCCCCTCTCATTCTCTCACGGCCCTTGTCGTGCAGGACGCGATGATAAATCAGTGGGGGAAACGATAGCATTTTTCCATTATTCATAAACTTCAAAAACTGGAGACAACTCAAATCTCTATCAAAAGATGAATGAACAAATTGTAGTATATTTGCACAATGGAATACTACTCAGTAATAAAAAGAAGCAAATTATTGATACACAAATTTATAGGTAGACCTACAAAACTTTCTGCCATGCTAAAGATGCCAGATACAGAAGAAAACATACTAAATGATTCCATTTATGTGAAACTCAAAATCAGGCAAATCTAAGAAATCTGGTAGATAGAAATCAGATCAGTGGTAGGAAGTGGGAGATTGATTGCAAGAGGTCACAGTGATGAGTTGGTGGAATTTTCTAGATATGGATTGGGGTTGAGGTTATATGGATGCATATAACTCAAAAGTCATTGAATTGTGCACTTAAAATGGGTGCATTTTCTTGTATGTAAATGCAAGACACTTCAAGACAATTGAAATGTACATCAATGCTTTTATTCCCACATCCTTGCTATTACCATAGAATGTCATTTATTAATTTGTCTATTATGTAGTGTTCATTTATCACTTCTTGTTTTTTCAGCTTGGTTTTTTTTTTCAGGTTAACATCGAAGTGAACCTCTATTCATGTTGTTTATTCTTTATGAATTTTCTTTTAATATTCTTTGTACATTTTTCTATTCAGTTGATTGTTTTATTCTTATATCATTTGTAGTTCTTTGTATATTCTGAATTTTAATCTGTGCCTGTTAGGCATGTTATAGTCTGCCAGTTCTCTTCAAATTTGTTTATGTTATCTTTTGTCTTGGAAAAGCTTCTTAGTTTTATGTGGTAAATGTTTCAAATTTACATCACAAAATAACTCCATTGACAATTTGATTTGGATTGTATTGCATGTATTTGAGAACTGATGTTGTTGAAATACTGAGATTGCTAAATTCATCAAAATACACAATTTTAAATGGATTAATTTTATCATATAAAGATTACTCTTCAGAAAGCTGTTTAAAATAAGCACCCTTCCCAGTGTCATTGTATATGTCCATTTATTCTTTTATGTATTTCAGCAAAGTTTTAATATTTTCTTCTTCTAGTTCTTGCACCTAATTTCATTGCTACTAAAAATCAGATCTATTTTTCATTGGCTTTTAATTGGATTTTTCTAGTATAGAGGAAAGTGATTTACTTTAAATATTTTTCCACTGATATTTCTGTTGTATTATGACAATGAGATTTCAGAATGTACCCAGTATAGCAACTAGTGTTACTAACTCATGGAGAATCATAAAATATTTCAGGAAATATAATATTAAATTAAAATGTGTAATGCAAGATTATATGAATTATAATCTACTTTTGTGAGTATATGAACATATATAGAAGTGGCTGCTTGGGTAACTGGGTTGAAGATGACATCATGAATCAAAGTATAGAATAAAGGACAAACAACAGACTTTGGGGAACATAAAGAGTTTAATGTTGCGTATGTTGAGATTGAACTGCTCCTAGACCCTCAAGTGGAGATGTCCACTGGGGAGATGAAAACAGCCGGAAACTTTGGAGAAAGGTCTGGTCTTCAGATAGAGATGTGGAGGTCACCAGAACATACAAAATCATTAAAGTGGTGGGTTTGGATGCCGTCACTTAGAGGGCATGACAATGAATACAAATGGATCAAGGTTGGAAACCTAGTCCATGCCACAAATGGAGCTAAGATTTTTGTTTTTGTTTTTTAATGACTGCTCCCTTTCTTGTTGAAGTTAAAGAAAATGAGAAGAACCCATAGAATCACATAGTGTGAAGTTGTACATATATTCAACAATTGACACAGTGTGACTTGACAAGCAATTGAACACCATATTTTTCAGTCTGTGAAATAATGATAATATCTTCCATACTTCCTTACAATTATCATGAGGCTACAATACAAACATAGGTAAAAAGTTCTTTTCTGAAGTCCAAACTACCAAAAAGAAGAGAAGCATCCTTCAACTCTGAACTAGTATACCAGCTTCTAGCTTCTTTCCCGACTCCTGGAGAAAAATTTTAGGCCACCTGGGTATTCATTATTCCCAGATAAAGATAAAATACACTCTTGTAGTAAAAAGATTTGGGTGGTGAACACACAATGGAATACATAGATGATGTATAATAAAGTTGTACACTTGAAACCTATTATATAATTTTATTAACCAGTGTCACCCCAAGAAGTTTGATTTAAAAAGAAGGAAAAATCAATTCCAGATCAAGCCAAGTCAGAGAACACAAAGTAGACACAAATTTAAATCAGAGAGGGAAAAAATGTTTAACAGATAAAATATGTGAAACTTGTGCAGGCAGAGGGAAGCACGAGGCATTTAGAGGGAGGTGGGGAGGTTGAGATATTTGGGTCGTATTTAGTACGGACCTAAGAGTACAGAGAATCATAAAAGAAAAAAATGATACCACAGTCAAAGCAGAGTTCTGATTAAAACAAACAAACAAACAAACAAACAAACAAAACCATGTAATAAATTAGTTAAGAATGTAAGGCATGAAGATCATTTAAAATAGTATTTCTTTTTTTTTTTTTTTAGCTGAACCATCCTGCCACCTGTTGGCAGCTTAGCGGCAGCTCAGCTCGGGCCGTGAATCAAACCGGGGGCCCTGTTGCTCAGAGCTCAAACTCTTGAGTGAGCTCTTAACCAACTGAGCCACTCGGCCGGCCCTAAAATAGTATTTCTTAAAGTATGCTTTCCCAGTGTTCCCTGGGGGAAGACAAAGAGGAAGGCCCAGCTAGAGGTCATAAAGACTTCTTTCCCTAGTTCGACTACGTGGTTCCAATTCATCCCTTTTACATATTGAACATTTATATAGTTTGTCATTTTAACTGAAGATTTCATGGCAAGAAAAAATATCTGGACAATATTCCAATATTACTCATAATATATCTACTGAATAAAATTATGTTACCATCATTGATAACAAAAAAATATCTTTTTACAAAAGACCCTTCCCAGGGCTCCCTTCATGTCTCTGTTCCTCAGGCTGTAGATGAAGGGGTTCAGCATGGGCGTCACCACAGTGTACATCATTGCCATGACAGTCTCCTTAACAGTAGAATTACTAGCTGATGGGCACAAGTATAGACCAATAATTGTCCCATAGAAGAGAGATACCATGGAGAGGTGGGAGCCACAGGTGGAGAAGGCCTTGCGGATACTCCCAGCAGAAGGGACCTTGAGGATGGAGGACAAAATTCGTGCATAGGACATGATGATGAGTAAGAATGGGATGACAAGAATGAGCCCTCCCATGAAAAATATCACCATCTCATTAACCCGAGTGTCAGAGCACGACAGCTTCAACAGAGCAGACATATCACAGAAAAAGTGGGGGATCACGTTGTCTGCACAGAAACACAACCTGGCCATGAGCAGAGTGTGTAACATGGCATGGAAGGTGGTCAGCACCCAGGACAGCGCCACCAGGGTGAGACAGAGCTTGGGGCTCATGATGGTGGTGTAGTGCAGGGGGAAGCAGATGGCCACATAGCGGTCATAGGCCATGGCCACAAGGAGGAAGCTCTCCAGGTCTGAGAAAAACAGGAAGAAGTACATTTGGGCAAGGCAACCTGCGTAGGGGATGTGTGGGACTTGGCTCTGCATGTTCTGCAGCAACTTGGGCATTGTGACAGAGGAGAAGCAGACGTCAGAGAAGGACAAATTGCTGAGGAAAAAATACATGGGCGTGTGGAGGTGGGAGTCCAGCTGAATGAGCACGATGATGAGGAGGTTCCCCAGGACGGTGGTAAGGTACATGGCCAGGAACAGGGCATAGAACAGGTCTCGTTGATCTGCTTCAATGGGCAGGCCCAGGAGGAGGAATTCTGAGACAATACTTTGGTTTCCCATTTTCATGTTGTTTTTGTTTTACCTTTTCAAAATTACAAATAATTTGTATTAAATTCGTAGTTACAAAATCGTCACAAGAATGTGAAATACAGTACGGGAAATATAATCAATAATATTGTAAAAACTATATATAGTGTCAGATGAGACTAGACTTATCAGGGGATCACATCATAAATTATATAAATGCCTAACCACTACTCTGTACACCTGAAACTAATATAAGATAATATCGAATGTCAACTATGTTATAAAAAAATGGGTATACAGAAACAAATGTAAAGTGCAATATAGGGAATATAGTCAATGGTATTGTAACAGCTATGTACGGTATCAGATGGGTAGTAGACCCATTGAGGTGTGTAAATGTCTAATCACTATGTTGTTTTGAACATCACACTAATAATAAAAATTAATTAATTAATTTAAAAATATTTTAAGTTTATCAGGGTAACAATTGTTAGTAAAGTTGCATAGGTTTCAGGTGTACAATTCTGTAATACATCATCTATATATTCTTTAAAATTTTTTTAAAGAATAATTTGCATTAAAGTATGAACTTACATATATGCATAAAGACTATACAGATTGTAGAACTATGAAAAAGATATTTTTAAATCAAGTATCCATGAGTTCAGTATTTTATTTGTACTCTCTCAAATATAAGAATAAACCTTTAGGGCCAGCCGAGTGGTGCATTGGTTAAGAGCTGGCTTGGGATGCCAGAGGGCCCTGGTTCAGATCCCACATATGAGGGCCAGTGACACTGCCCTCTATAGCTAAGATACTGAACAACAGCTCAACTTGGAGTTGGGCTGCCATGAGTCGGAGGCGACAGCGTAGGCTGCAGTGGGTTGCCATGGGCTACAGCGTGTCGCCAGCAGCCAGTGTGAGCGGCTAGCAGCAGCAGTGAGCGGCCTCCAGAAGCCAGCAACTGATCTGCCTCGCCCGGGAAGAGCGCAATGATGGTGCCA